TATGCTACCTTAGATTTACTTTTGCTAAGTTATTGCTTGCTTGCTAATGTATTGAATTGTTTGTAAAATGGTGTTTGCCATTGAGAATAAATAAATAAATAAACTAATTATCTCTAAACCACAATTTTATTGCTAAGAACTTCACTGGCATGAAAATTGATATAAAAATGGATTAGGCCTATAAATAAAAATAATGTCTCAATCTGTTGGATTACTAAAAGGCCTTGAATGTATATGTTTCAGTTTATCTCCATCAGCTTTCAACTTACCATGAAATCATCGACAAGATCTACTACGATGTCAGTCATTTGGAACCATGGAAAAAAAACACCAGACAGAATCCTAGACAATTCCGAAGGAATGGATGTGTAAGTATGCTTTCAATCACCCAACTTTCTTTTTTCTTTAAATATTGAATTAATCCTGTATTGGAAGAGCGTGCTTTCCTGCAAAGTGGGGTAATCTTCTCAATAGGTAACACCTGGCATTTAAATGTTTTCTGCTCACTGACCACTTTGACAATCACAGAGAGAGGAAGATTAGGGCCTACTAGTGTTACAATTCTCTTTTTGTTCGCTAGGTAACAAATTTCTTTTAACACATTCGCTGCTGAAACCTTTAAACAGGCGCTCGCCAATGGCGGCGAGGCCGGGCGGAGCCCCGACGCGCTAACTGAATCAGCGATCGCTATTGGTATTGAAATATCTCAGTAAGACGAATCACAAAAGAGCAGTGGTGATTGTTCTGCGTTACTCCGAAAGTGGACGTAGTTCACTGAAACACCCAAAGGTAGCAGCACTGCCTGGATCAATAACCAGAGTCTTTGTAATACGGCTAGAACTGAGAAATTCCCCAAAAAGGGGACAAAAGCATTGCCAGACGGGATTTTACTGGCAATTTTTGTACCAACCTACACCAGAATAAAGCTCGCATTATAAGCTACAGGCTGGTAAAGATTACAACGTTCCCCGACAATGGCTGAGCTCACATTGAAACAATAAACATGACATAGCGCGCTCCCCCACCCGTGGACCCCCCGCTCCTCAGCTGAGACGCGCGGGGTCCACCGGTGGACCCGTCGCATCGAATGTGTTAAGAAAGTTTTTTGTTGGGACTTAGAACAATCACAATAGCTACTATTTTTGAGGCTCCTTGAATTCTCCTATGACAAGCCCAAAGGCAATTGAGTTTAAGTGGATATGGCATAGTAGATGAAAATCTATTCACGTTAGCAAGCACTCGAGCAGCGGACATTCGCCCAACTTGTGTTTTGCCTCAAATTTAGATTTTGTGTAGGTATCTTTCTTTCTTTTTGTTAACCGTTTCTAATGACCAGGCTTCAAATAATCAATGTTCTAACTCAGCTATATACTAATGCAATGAAATATTTCAAGGCCATTCAGTAGAACTCCAATAATTATCTGAAATCAATTGGGAATGTACCACATTCAGATAGCCTAATCAATATTTTTGCTAACTGGATTATTATTGAAATTCGGGGTGTTTTACAGAAGATAGACAACGTTAAGACGACTTTTTACGATCACGATCACAGAATGTGTCTGTGAATATTTCGCAGTATAAAAAAGTATATTTTTTTGCATCTTGAAGGACCATGATTGTGGAGAGGTATTTAGATTTTCATGATTCACATTACTGTGGCTGTTGTTCAAATTCTCTCTTAAAGTGATTCCAATAGGCGGTGATTTGGATCGTGATGATTGGAGTTCTACTGTATATGTAAGGTTGGTTCTAATGTCTTGATTTGTTTTCTAGATTTGCACTGTAAGCTAAGTACTTTATCTGCGAAATCTTCTAATAATTATATTAGAAAATTATAATAGATTCAAACTGCTCTCTGAAAAAATGCAATTCCAAACAAAATATTAGTTTTAGGTTGTGACAACTTCCTCATGTTTTCTATAAACCCTTAAACTCAAATGTATACTACCTGAACTTATTCTTTATCTCCTGCATTTTAGAAAAAAAATCGTACGTAATGTTTTAACTTGTTTTATATCTGTCCGAGCCTGTATTGGCAACTATAACTTATTAAAAACTGTAGTGTGTTAATAATAATATACTTTCTCAGACTAGGATTCTACCAGTGAAGTTGGAGATGTCCTTTAATTGGCTTTTGGCTTTTGTATTAATATTAACCCTTTGAGGTCGAATGTTTTCCCCATTTTTCAGTGAGTATAGTTTTCCATTTGAGCAGTCAAGAAAATGGTGCCCAGCGACTTATACTGGCCATTTGACCGCAAAGATAAACTTTATAATTTTTCTTTTTTTTTTGTGAGTATAGGTTGCCATTTTCGAGCAGTCGGGAAAATGGCAGGCGGCGTTTTCGACCTCAAAGGGTTAAAATATGTGCTATCTTATGAAAGTAGAAATATATCAAAAGCAAAGGCAGTGAACTTTAATATTTTGCCAGTTGCTGATGGATTTGAATGTGTAAAATGACTCCTGTATGTAACTGTTGTATGTTTGATTTGACAGATTCGGTGGGTTGGTGCTGGAGGAATTGTTTCCACAACCTATTGCCTGCTCTATAAGCTATTTACCTTGAAATTAACTAGGAGACAGGTACATGGACTAATCACCCATCCTGATTCACCATACATTCGTGCTCTCGGTTTTATGTACATTAGGTAAGTGTAGGCCAGTTGTGTGGACCCATGGTCTAAACTGAAAAGTAGAAGTTTTATAATAGTTTATACTGTCTGAATTCATTATAATTTATGGATTAAACCTTTTCATTTAAACCAACATTTTTTGGTGGTTTTAAAACTGTGTATTTTTCCATAAGATAATCTCAAAAAACTTAACTATGCTTTGTGAAAACAATCATTGTTTACACATTATTTTTAGGTATACTTTACATTAATGCTTTTATAATAGATTGGTTTATCTGGGCTAGGATTTTGGTCCTGTGGAGGCCGGATATAAGGGGTTCTACTGTAATCCAATTTATTACGTTACCCTTTGTAAGTTCTGATTAGTTTGGATTAGCTGTACCAGCTCTATTAGCTGTATAGTGTTCTTAGTACAATAAAAAATATACTTTTGTTTCTCCCATTTACACTAACTTATTGTGAGACTATCACACACATTTTGTTGCAGGTACACTCAACCTCCCCAAGATCTATGGGGCTGGTATGACGCTTACTTGGATGACCCTGAGGTAGGTCATTTAAGTTACTCCTCTTTTCTAACTTTTTTACATTTTAGCGAATTTACGATATAGGGAATAATCTATTAGGTAGGTCTCATGGAAACACCAAGACCGGGGGGTTTACGTAGGGTTTTATGGCGTAAAAATTAGGTGTTTTTCAATTTTTGACTGACAGTTATAGAAATGATTTAAAAAATTGTGTTTTTAAAATTCCCATGTTATTCTTATGTGGAATAAATAATTTGTTGCAATGTGTATGTTTATGGATATATCTTAATCAAATTTGGCCATTTTGTTTATTTCATACTAAGCTATCAAAATTTCAATAAAGTATACCGTACCACAATTGCTTGTAGCAGCAAACATAAGTACTCGTTTTAATTAATGCCTTTTTAAATGGCAAATAAATATGACTTCTGCCTTCCAGATTTCTCCTCCGTAATTGATCAAATCCTTCATGGTCTTGGTCATATCAAATTAATTTAGGTCTGCTTAATGGATGTCTTCCTGTAGGTGAAGCCTTACAAACCTCCTTAGTCTTGTGCGCCCCTGTCTACAAAGTACCCAACCAACTTTTAAAAAAATAACCAGGTTAAATATAAATTACATTGTAAAACCCCTTTACATACATAGAATATCAGAAACCAGAAATAAAAGTTTTACCTAAAAATAATCAGTAGTTTTACAAGGATTAGTCCAGTAAAAATATACAAATTATGACCCAACCTCAAGATAATACTCCCATGAATATGAGGCGAGCTCTAGTGGCAATTAACGAAAACAGGGCCCATTGTTTAATTTTTGGCTAAAATCTTTAGAACCGTTTGTCAGAGCTAAAAGTGACCACAATAAAATTAAAGATTATTAAATCCCTAACAAAAATTATATTTACACTTTTATTTTGACCCTAATGGTTACTAAGTTATTTTAACCATAACTTGGTAATGATCGCTAAAATGTGGCTTTTTTCTCAAACTGTCTTGACATGAGTTTTTACCATTGTTTGCAACCCGACAGTTTGAGAAAACAATGCAATATTTTAAAGTCTTATGACTCGGTAACAATTAGGAATAAAATAAAAGTGTAAATGTAATTTTTTTGAAAATTTGATGATCTTTCATTTGGTATGCAGGCACTTTAAGCTCCGACAAACGGTTCTCGATATTTTAGCAAAAAATAACAAAAAGGTACCCTGTTTTTGCTAATTGACGCTAGAGCTCGCCTCTTATTAACGGGGACTTTTGGTATAATCTTCCCTAGAGTAACTAGAAATAAGTGTGCAAAGTTTTAAAACTTTCAGAGTTATTGTGAGGTTAAACTTTTTTTTGACTGGACTAGATAGCAGGAAATCATCACAGATGTGATCACTTTCACAGGAAATTTTTACAGAATAAGCTGAAATTGCATGAGATGCCCAAAATGCTAATGCCATTCTAGCTTTAATAGTTGAGAACCTTTTGAAAGCTGGAGAACTTATTAGAAATCATGCAAAAGACAGAAGAACCGATTAAAAAAATTTGGTCACATTTAAACAAGGCAAGTTTTATTCTGAAAATTTGGAATGTCAATGTGGAAAAATTTGGAACTGTCCTTAGATTTAATATTAAAAAAAAAACATTTCGATTAGGCCTTCTGCTATCAGAGTGGTTGTACCATATGGTTTTTACCACCTCAAAAATCTTTACAAGTTACCACAGCATCTTGTGCAAATAATATTCTGTCTCAAATTGTGCATAAGAATTAAATTCTTTTTCAATTCATTACTTAAATCGTTAAAAATTTAGAATCACACATTTTGTTTTATGTTTTCTAGGAACTCGACGTCAAAGCTGGGGGAGGCCTGGCGATGACCATAGGAGAGATAGTAAAGAGCTTCCTGTTTGGACACGAATGGTTTTCGACCGTGTTTCCTCAAATCCCAGTACCAGTCCAGGTAAGATGACAGTTTCACTGGGTTGTGACTTAAGCCGGGTTTTCCTAGGCGCGGAGTCGGCGAGCGGAGAGAGGAACGCGGAGAGCTGACTCCACTTGTCTTAGGCAATTTGATGTTACTGTTTTCCTAGAAGCGGAGCGGAATGCCATGTTAATTTCAATTCCGCTCTCCACATTCCTCTCTCCGCTCTCCGCTTTCGCGCCTAGGAAAACCCAGCTTTAGTCATCAGTCTTATGAGTCCTTGGAGGCTGATGGGCATCTTGGGTTATTTCAAACTGCTGATGAATGGTTATTTATCATCCAAAAATATGGTTATTTATCATCCAAAAATATTTGTTTGGATATCAAAGTGATTGTTATTTAATTATCTAGTGCATTGTGGGATCAGAACTTTGTTTTGTAGTTTTGTTAGTTTTCCTAGGTTTTCTATGGAGGCTAAAGAGCTTGGACAGACTAAAGACTAAAGCAGACTAAAGAGGCTTGGATTTGCTTGCCTTAAGAGCAATGTTAATTTCTTAAATTTCAAACATCCACTGGAGAATTTATTACCATCTGAAAATATTATTTCAAATACCAAAGTGATTGTAATTCAAACATCTAGTGTGCTGTGGGATTAGAAACGCTCTTCCTGCATTTGTAATTGTTTTATCTGTTAGAATGTTTAGTCTCCAACGAGTTAAACTTATTCACTTCAACTATTTAATCTTTGTTTTGAAAAACTCACCTCTTGTAACAGGTGTAAAATATGTCTACACTCAACTAAACAGTGTTTCACATCCCTGAGTAACGAAGATGCCTTTAAGGTGGTTTGTTGTGACGATCTAAATATGATTATTATATTTCACACATATATTAATATATTTCACAGATAACTATAGAATTTTCTTACAAAAAAAGTTGGGAAACATTGGTTTATATAAGAAGAATCTATTTGATTTTAAGAACCTAAGTTAACATTTTCAGCACATCTTTCAACTAAAGTTAGTAGTACTATTTCTGCAATTTTTTTGTTAATGTGATTTCTAGCACTCAAAAAGTATAAGAAATAGTGCAGATAAACAGGCCCCTTGAATGAACCCTGGGTTCAGGGGGGCATGAGGTTTCATGTTTATTGGGTGCGCAAGGAAAAGAAAGGTGGAGGAGGCACTTATGTCAAATACACACCGCAAGCCTGCAGATAAGGTCTACGGTCTACCGTTACGAGAGGTTTTTTGTTGGCTGACTGGCTGGAGTTGGGTGGACAATCAAAAAGTCGTCAAGACTGTTTGGTCGTTGACTGTGGGTGCGCACAGGCCACGACTGTTTAGTCGTCTTTTGATTGTCAAAAGGATATGATAGAAACCGATGTCATATGTGCGTTACTGATAATGTGCATGAAAACGTAAAAGAAATTACTGGCTGCATCCAATTTATAGTCCGAGAACCTTGACAGACCAGATTTACCTCTCATACTTGGATTTGAGGAAATATCCGGACAAATTTTCATTTCCTCAAGAATGAGTGTTGATAGTTATATTGTGTACACTTCTTCAAAGAACTTTTATAAAGAGAGGGCCGTGCCTCCTCTTCATTATTAAGTTTATCAACTTTTTCGTCTCACACAAAACACTTGCACTTGTTACAGCCACAACGCACTTGACTGTCAGCGTAGCGCACACACAACAAAAGTCTGTCATACTTTTTAGTTGTCAGTGTGCACATTCAAACTTGTCTCTATGCCTTTTTAATATGACTTGACAATCGAGTCGGGGAGCTGTCGGCGGGAAAATCGGTCAGCCCCAGAATGCCCCGACCGTCTGCAGACAATCTGCTGACTGTCTGGCTGTGGTTGGCGCGTGCACGCACTCAGATTTACCTCCAACTTTGACTCCCGACTACGACAAAATAGTTGGCCGACAAAAAGTCTCTCATGTGCGGTAGGCCTAAGCCCGGTCACATGTTGGATGTCATTGTGTTACATAACATAAACTTTATACATTTTAAAGATAGGAAATACTGTTTTTTTTTGTTTGGAATAGTTAGGGAGTAATAGTTTTATTAGTTGAAATAATGCTACTGTTTTTGTCACATATTACTTCATCCTCCAGAGTGTTTCAGCTGGTAGGTTTACAAAGGCACTATTATTTTGTGCTGCTTGCTTAGTAGGAAGAGGGAATCATCGTGAAAATAATTTGACTCACCTCGTTAAAATAGTTAAGATGATGTAACAAAAGCAATAGGGTAATCTTTTGGTACCATGGTACCGAGGTAAAAGATGATACCTAAGTAATGGTATTAAGTATTATTTTAAATAAAGTCCACCTCTAAAACATGTTAATGCAGCCATATGATTACATATTATTTTCAGAAAAAGCTGAAGAATATGATGGAAGAGAGGTTTCCTGCGAGGGCTTCTTCTGAAGGTCGTCAAACTCCTGATGAAGAGGCTCACTTCAGCCAGGATGTGTAGGTAGGTAGAAAATGAGACGTCCTTTAATTTCCTTTGTATCTAATTCAAATGTGTGTGTTATTTTATGAATTGAACCAATCAAAATCAATAAAAAAGTGCATTTATACATTACAAATTCTACAAATTATAGATTGCAAAAAATAGTTAGTGACTGTTTGTTTGGGGTTTTGGTATGGGAAAGTGTTTGGTTTACAATTGTTTACAGTTGTTGCCAACTTATTTTCAAGCATACATGTATTACATATCTAATAAAAGTGTACTGTTTTTTGTTGTTTGGTTGAAATACTGGAGTGCGGCAAAATAATTTTGCGGCAAAAGTATGTAAATGCAGCAACTATTAGGCCTAGCTACTCTGCGTAAAATCATTGATTTTAGAGTTTTCAATGAAATAATTCAAAATTTCCAGGAATATTAAGTGACACCACATAGCTTTTTTAAGAAATTATAATTCTGGGCTAATCAATAAACATAAAGAATTAATTCTTATTATTAGTTTGGATGGGGCATGGCTAGGTGTATTTCAACCCATGTATTAGTGTAGTGAATAATGAGTTTAGAATGGAGTGAGATGCCTTGTGTAGCTTTTTTGCCGACTAAGATCAGCTGTTTTTATAGCCAGGACCAATTCCAAGTTTAAATTGATCCTAGTTTATTCAAGAAGAGTAGTGTATTCATATAGTAAGAATGTATGTTGCTGTATATGTTGTAACATTTGTGTTGAGCTCGTCCTAGAAACATCTGGTAACATTTGGTCTACATTAGCATTGTGGAAATTAAAAAAAAATCAATTACAGCTTTTATGTTAAGAGAATTTTCTTGACAGTTTTAGGGTTCAATAGAGGTCAGCATTAAATTGACATTTTAAAATGTTTTAATATAATTTGAAAACCAATTCTAGACTTCTCATCATAATTATTAGTACAAATTGCATTGCTCATTATATGTCTATTAACTGGTTTTATGGATTTATATTATTATTGGATGTTATAATAACTCTATTTAGTAATACGATAAAATGTTATGGTGTTGTTTTAAAAGCATATTTGAAATACATTTTTCAGCATTTTTGAAATGGTTATTTTTGGACGTTTAGGTTTAATATTGAATAAAGAAGATTTTCTGATGTCCATTCAGATATTTTTGTTTGTAATAGTTATATGCCATCAACATAAATAATCTATGACTGAAATAATAAATATAGTTGTAGTTATGCCTACTACTTTTATATTTTTAGATCTCACAGGCTTAATCAAGATGTTTTTCATCTCTCTAACGTTAATTTGTTTCTCTGTTTGTTTTAGACATCGTCATCGAGACTGAACACATTTTGAGGCCTCCTCATTCCAGTTTAAGTTTGATGATTTTTGAATCAAATGTGAATTTTTTCAATTTTCAGTCGACCACATTGTATTGGTGTTCATTTTGACAAAATAAAAAACCGTTCTTTTGCAACTGTTGTTTGATCCTTTCCCCTTTTAAATCTTAATATAGTAGGCACAATTTGAATAGTTAATCTTAATAAGCTAGCCTTAATAGCTAGTCTTAATAATACATCATTGTAGTTACATACTGTAATGGTGACATGTATGTTGCAACATCAAACGTATGGTTTTGCAGTTATGTCTGTATAATTTGATAATGGTGGGGGGGTAGGCTATCTAAGAAACACAGGAGATGAAGAGAAATAAAAATCATCCCTAAACTGTAATAAGTTCATGAAATGAATAGACTGATACTTGCTAATATGATCTACATAATATAATATACTATCCTAATAGTGTGGGTTGCCAAGTGGTCAGGGCCTCTGAGAGAAATCCTGGGCCCCTATCCAATTCGGAACTCGGGCCCCTCACTCTCACCCCCCCCCCACCACTATTTCGAGAGTATTGCTCTTTTATTTTCATATCTCATATTATTAATCTATGGAAAATCAAACAGACATGAATGCACAAGCTCTATTTTTGTCTACAGTATTATAAATTATAATGTCAGTGATGTTTGTTCCGTTTTCGACTGGGTATGTTAATCTAAACCTGTATTGATACATAAAGTAATAATAAGATAGGATAATTCTTACATAGGATAATTCTTTATAGCCCGATAACAAAAAGGTAACTGGATCTAGTTTGATACTAAAAATCGTCCAACCTTATGAATGGCTCCTTCAATACTTAACTAATCAAACATTTACTAAATTTCTTATAATTTTTTATTTATTTAGGCTATACATAGTTTAGGCCTAAGTTTGACTATATGAATGTGAATAAATTTAATTTGTTACAAATAAATCAACATTCAAGCTAAACCATGTTACAAATATTGTTGTAGGGGTGAGGGTGAAGTTGATAGAAACAACACCAAGAATTGGACACTTTCTCACTTAACTTTGAGCCAACGGTAGACACATAAATACAAAAATACCCTTGTGTCAATAAAACACTAAGGAGGTTTTAAAAAGTCTGTTTTATCAACATAAACTTAAGATAATGACCAAGGTGAAACCGAGGTTGGAAAATGAGCAGGGGTCGAAAAAACACTTGGCAAATATATTTGTTGAAACATGGTAAAAATTTAAAGGTAAATAGTCGTGGCTCGATTTCCCAATAGGCATTCACTTCAATTATTTAATCTTTATTTTGAAAAACTCACCTCTAGTAATAGGTGTAAAATATGTCTACACTAAACTAAACAGTGTTTCACATCCTAAATAACGAAGATGCCTTTAAGGTGGTTTGTTTTGACGATCTAAATATGATTATTATATTTCACACCTATATTAATATTTTTTACAGTTAACTATAGAATTTTCTTACAAAAAAGGTTGGAAAACATTGGTTTATTTAAGAAGAATCTACTTGATTTGAAGAATCTAAGTTAATATTGTCAGCACATTAAAGCCTATTTATTTCACCATGTCTGGTATTATCACCTGGCTGATAGAATCTATCTGCCAGAAAGCACTTAAGCACCAATGTTCAGCCTCATGTATTATTTTAACGAGCTTCAGAAAGCACTTCATAATTTCTTGCCTGTAAAGCTGATTTTAAGGCTTTCCAGCTCCACCAAAGCACTGTCCAGTAAACTTACAGTAGTAGTCTGGTTCTGGTTCATGATGGCCCAGTTATGGCAAGATGTTGGTTACTATACTAAGTTACTACGTTTTTCGGATTTAAAAATAATCTTTTAGGCATAAGTTACTAAAATATGGTTAAGGAATACCAAAATGGATTTTTCAGTAGGTTATTAAGTTAGATAACTTACGTTAATTTAGGCTATGTTTAAGTTTAATTGGAAAGCATCCCAACAAATTAAGCCTAACCTTTTTGGATGCAAGCATTAAGAAAGGAATTATAAGAATGAAAGTCAGCCGTTTGTAGCTGAAATTGAGGCTTTTTCGAGATTTTATAAGCTATTTGTGTTCAAATTCCTAACCTAGGCCTAAGTTTATTGAAATTTCAAACATTTAGTTACTTACTGGTAGCCTAATTAAACTCGGTAAAGAATAGATTGTTTTAAGTTAAGTTAGGCTCTAACTTATGTTTTATTATAAAGTAGCCTATAGAATAGGTCATAAGTTATTAGGCTATATAAGATGCAAACAGTAGGTAGGCTAAGTTAAATGTTATCTCACCTCAAGGCCTCTTAAAAAGAAATGTTCTAAAAAACTAAAACGAATAATAGAGATCATATATTTCTATACAAAATCATGGCCTAACTTAGGCATAGGTTTATTAAAATGTCAAAAACATTAGGCATGTTATCCTAAATCAAAACCTTGCTCTGACTGCTCATACTCAGAACCAATCCTAGGCCTAGACCAAGATATAAGTCGTAGGCCAGCGATTTAATTAAGTTTGTTTTTTTAAACGTGCAGTGCCTAAGAACTAAACTAAATGTAACCTCGCTTTTTTGTGAAGAAAATGGCATTAATGTTCTGTGTGTTAGTGAACACTGGCTTGTGACAGGTGAGACTGATTATTACAGTAGGGTTGGTGGACTAAATTTAGTAATATCCCTCTGCCGCAATCACCATAAAAACGGTGGTGTTGCAATATACCTCAATGAAAAAGTAAGCTACAAGGCTATAGACCTATCACGTTTTTGTGTGGAGACTATCGTTGAGGTTGTTGCAATCAAACTAATAGATTTCTCTGCCATTGTTCTAAGTGTGTACCAGCCCCCTGATGGCAATAGTGACACTTTCTTTGAATTATTTGACCAATGTCTGGCCTATATTACTGATTTCAACAAAAAGGTTATTATTGGAGGAGACTTTAACATTGCTCTGAACCTTAAGAATCCGATTACTAGTGATTTCTCCAATGTGTTGCGGAACCATGGACTCTGTGACAAATACACTACCGACCAGAGGTGAAAACTGCTTGGATACTGTGGCTGGGTGCATGGCAATACAGGATTTGGGTAACGGAGGCATTTGTGGCTGGTCACAAGGCCGTGTTAATGTGGACCAACCTCAATCTAGTAAGTCACCCTTCTGATTTTCCTGTGTGGCATGATAGTTACATAAGACATTTTAGAGTCATTAACGATAATTTATTCCCCCTACTCAGTGACTTAACAGAAGGGCCCGCAATGCGGGGGCACCGAGGAGCTGAGGGGGCCTGCGAACCGGTGAGCAGAGAGGCCCGTGAGACGAGTGGGGCCGAAAAATTGGAGTTTATTCTTATTTAAATGTATTATCAATCATTCAATAATTGTATTGAACAAGTAATAACATTGAAGTTATTAATAATATGTTGTTATCAGTTATCGTTTAATTTTGTTAGGCCTCTTCAGTGTTAACAAATTTAAAGTGTTATAACGTGGGTCTTTGATTATTAAGCAATCTTTCTTTTGTCACCGAGAAATATTTTACTTCACGGTGATTTCGTACACTGCTTATGTCGTCTACAAACATTTTGTTTATTTTGGAACATGTTTAATTTTTATTTAATATTTTTTTCATAACTTATTTACCACTCTTTTTATGATTAATCTGTTTGATCATTGTAATGGTGGTCGATAAATAGCTCTGGGGGGAGGGCGAGGGCGTTTGATTATGTTGTATGGTGGTCTAAAAATAACTCATGAGAGGGGGTCCCAAAAAATAAGTTTGCAGGGGGGTCCATAAAAATTTGTTATGCCACTGCCCCTACTTAAGCATGATCTTTCGCAAGTTAACTGGCACAATGTGATAGAGGGCAGAGAACCTAAAGAAGCTTTTGACGCTTTTTTGCATTGCTCTGTGAAGCCTTTAAATTCTATTTTCCTCTGCAAACTAAGCGTATGACAGGGGAGACAAGAGTTATGCCTATTAGAGTGGATAAGTCTTGGTTTACACCTGTATTAGCTAGAGTTAAGATGTTTGTCTTAGCAATTAAGGACAGGCTCTCCGTTTCAACTGGTAAAGCAGCCATTGACAACCTCAGATTACTCTACGCTAGGGCAAAAAAAACTTTATAGGTGGAAAGTAGATGAGGCTGAGAAGGCCGTAAATACCAAAAGTATTGATAGCTCGCCAAATCCCTGTAAGTAAGGCACTCTGGAACTTGAATGTGCCTAGTGGTACCTATTTTAGTTTTTTAATAGTGGTGCCTATTTTCAAGAAAGGTGACCCTTCCAGTATGGCCAGTTACCAACCTATATCAATTATACCTATGATAGCCAAAGTCACGGAAACTGTCATGAAGCGGCATGTAGTTGAGTATCTAAAACAGTAGAACTTGCTTTCCAACCTGCAACATGGCTTTAGGCAAGGTAGGTCAACTATCACGGCAGTGTCCGATCTGTATGAGAAAATACAAGGTGCTTTCGAAGCCTTCGAGTCTGTAGCTTTGACTCTATGTGATCTGTCAAAGGCGTTTGAGGTAGTATCTTACCTGATCCTTTTGGACAAGCTAAGGGGTTATGGTTTTGGGGAAAAGGTTTACTCAACACTTGCTTCTTATCTCGACAATTGCCAGCAAATTATTTCCCTTGGTGCATTGTCTAATGCGCTTAAAGTAGAGTATGGTGTGCCTCAGGGCTCAGTAATGTGGCCAATCTTATTCCTGGTAGCAATAAATGACCTTGAGTTGGAGGGTAAGGCGCTAAGATTTGCGGATGACACGACACTGATTACGACTGGAAGAAATCCAAACGCAGCGATGGAAGAATCCGACCTTTTGTTCGGAGCTGCTAGAGAGTGGTTTAATTGTAACATGTTTAAACTAAATGAAGATAAAACAGAAACTTATCTCGTCCCTAACGCCATCACTAGATCAAGTGTAAAAAAATGTGTCACTATTAGGCTTTATTCTTGATCCTAAACTAACCTGGGGAGACCACATTGACAACATTTGTAAAAGGTTAGCGAGGATTAACTTTCTTCTCCGAAAACTTACAATACTTAACCCTAAATC